TCTGCCATCTCCAGTTTAGCATTTTGCTGAACATACTCCTTACCAGGCCTGGCCATTTTTGCAAACCCTGAGGGCAATTTAGACTTAAACTTAGCCAAACAAGGATGGGAACTTGAAGAAAATTGTCTGCACAAAAACTTTTCATTCTGGTGAATGCTAACTGATAGAAAGCACATAGATTAAATATGCAAACCAAATTCTGTTATTATAAAGAATTGCATTAATGTTTTACCTGGGTTCAAAAAGTTGCTTTTCTTTTTGTTGAAAATAAATAGTGGGTATATTATTTACTCAGACACAGGTGGCTGTGTTTTGAAATATGTTTTCCTTTTAATTAGCTATTAGCAAGATGAATATCAATCATTTAAAGAATGACTGCACTGTAGAGTTAGGCCTTTGCTTTTACTATGTTGTTTGAATGCTAATAGATTTTCTGTGAAATATAATATCAGAAGACTGAGTAGAAAATGTGTCTATTCTAACTCAAACATTTGACTTAGGAGTGTAAAAATAAGTTCTGTTTAGTGAGGTCTCTGAAGTAATTTAAATTTAAACACAGGGAAGTCATTGAGAAATTCTCCTGTCCTTAGATGTTTTCAGGATCTAAAAGATAATAAAACATTCATGTACATACTACATTATTAGCTTAGATAATTTATTGCCTTACATTTCTACAAATATAAGACCTGAATTAAACAACATAAAAGCCATATTTCATAATTCATTAAAAAACTAAATAGGTGAGTTTCAGAGGTTCAAGAGATTAATTTGACTTTTTATGGAAATGTTTGCAATAAATCCCAAGTTAATGACTATTCTGACACTTAATATACTTAAGGTTTATAGATTCTTGAATTCCGAAAACACCCTTCAAAGGGTATATATAAATGCAGTGAAGCAAATTTAAGGTCATCAAAGACAGACTTAATTTCTAAGGTATATGTTACCCATATCATATCAAGCAGTTTACAGAATATGTATAATATACTAGTAAACAAATGACTTGATGGTGAATTTGTATTATGATAGTTAAAAGAAATATTTTAAATTTTTCTTCCAGAAAGATCTTCAGCACCCTTTAATATATTTTCTCTGTTAAATGATACTAAAATAAGATATCAGTTATTTTGAGAATACAGAAGAGAGGAAGTAAGGTGAAGAATTCAGTTTTAATAGTCAGTGCATATCCTATGAAACTAGAAAATTGAGGGAATAGTGGGCGTTGGAGGGATGGGGAAAATGATGAAAGGGATGACAATGTTCAAGAAGCAGTTTACTCATAATCTGACACACTGAATGTTAACAACTTTGTACGAGTACTTAAAGGTATTAAAAATGAATAAAATAAAAATATTTATCTTTACTAATTCAAGATTTATCATTTCTTAAAAAAAAACAAATTCTATAGTCAAAGTACTTTTCAGATTTTGTTCTACTTGTGGCCACAGAGCCACTTCAGGCTTTTTTCTGGTTATGTGGTGCTGAGGAATTGAACACAGGGCCTCATACATGCGAGCATGCATGCTTATGCTTCCTGTACTACTTTTTTCTCTCCTGTAAAGGAGTTTTTATGTATATTATGAAGGTTAATTTTTATATAAGAATACTCGTGTGTATGTATATGTAGACTACATTTAACTAAACAGATATATATATATATATATATTCCAATAAACATGCTTGGAATTGAATTAGTAGGTTATTTTTATTATGCTTAATTTGTTATAGAAATTGAGAAGAAAAATATTGGCCAGATGTTAATAATTCTTCATTTTAAAATGTTTTGTTTTTATCAATTTTTAGTAAGATTTATTTTCTGCCATACGGACCCCTATACTTGCCTTGAACCCATGCTTTAACAAGTACTAGATAGTGGAATGTGTCTATTTCATCTGCTTCTCCTGGGAAACAGTTATCTAGAGCAATACACTTCTTATGCTGGACCCAAATGAGCCTTTGTCTTGCTTGTCTAGAAGTCTAGCAAAGACTGTATTCAACTCCCTTTGCCCTCCTAACCTTATTAAAATGCAAAGTGCAGCCTATAAACCTAGCTACTCAGGAGGCTGAGATCTGAGGATTGCAGTTCAAAGCCAGCCCAGGCAGGAAAGTCTGTGAGACTCTTATCTCCAATAAACCCCTAGAAAACCGGAAGTGGCACTGTGCCTCAACTGGTAGAGTGCTCGCCTTGAGCTGAAGAGTTCAGGGACAGCGCCCAAGCCCAGAGTTCAAGCTCCACGACCGACCAAAAAAAAGAAACAACAAAAAATGCAGTCTTTCTTCATTAAAAGCTAATGTCTTGTACATTTCTTAGATTAGAACGTTCAAGCCAGGCATGACTGTAATCCTAGCTACTGAGGTGGGTGAGATCTGAGGATCAAGATTCAAAGCTAGCCCGTGCAGGAAAGTCCATGAGACTCTTATCTCCAATTAACCACTAGAAAACCAGAAATGGCCCTGTGGCTCAAGCGGTAGAGTGCTTGTCTTGAGCTAAAGATCGTAGGGATAGCACCCAAACCCAGAGTTCAAGCCCCACAACAGACGAAAAGAACTTCCATCCTTTTATAATAGTCTTACAAATAAAGGTTTGCCATATCTAAGTTCCAGTTTTTTTGTGTTTTTTTTTTTTGTATGTTTGCTTTTTTTGTTTTTCTGGTCGTGGGACTTGAACTCTGGCCTTGGCGCTGTCCCTCAGCTCTTCAGCTCAACACAAGCCCTCTACCACTTGAGCCACAGAGCCACTTCAGGCTTTTTTCTGGTTATGTGGTGCTGAGGAATTGAACACAGGGCCTCATACATGCGAGCATGCATGCGAGGTAAACACTCTACCACTAAGCCATCTTCCCAGGTGCCACCCTTTTTTGTGGTCTTGGGGCTTGAACTCTGGGCCTAGGTAGGCGTGGGCGGGCCTGGGCGCTGTCCCTCAGCCCTTCAGCTAAAGGCCAGTGCTCTACCACCTGCAGTGCCACTTCCGGTTTTCTGAGGTTTTGTTTGTTTGTTTACATAAGAGTCTCACGGACTTTCCTTCCTGGGCTGGCTTTGAACCATGATCCTCAGATCTCAGCCTCCTTAGTAGCTAGGATGACAGGCGTGAGCCACCATCGCCTGGCATAAGTTCCAGATTTACTTGACAAATTCCTTCCTGGTGAATGTCATTTGTCTATGTGCCCATACATTATGATTATACTGTTATTTTATAATCTGAATTTTAAGTGTTCTATATTGAAATATCTGGATGTTATAAGCGAAACTTATTGTGATAGATGTTATATAAACTTTCCTGGTGCTATTTTGGGGGGAAAATATCCCTATGTACATCCCCGCTGAGTTTGAGCTCACAATTTTCCTCCCAAGCACTGGGATAATAGGCCTGAGCCATCATTATAGTATCTTACCATCAAAAGAAAAAACAAACACTGCCATTGTCTTATTTAGTCAATACACTAGAAGAAATTTTAATATTTCTACTCTTCAAAAGTCCAACACGGCTGGGAAGGTGGCTCAGTGGTAGAGCGCTTGCCTTGCATCCCTGAGACCCTGGGTTCAATTCCTCCGCACCACATAAGCAAAAAGAAAAAAGCCGGGAGTGGCGCTGTGGCTCAAGTGGTAAAGCGCTAGCCTTGAGCTGAAGAGCTGAGGGACAGCGCCCAGGCTCTTGGGGTTCAGACCCCAAGACCGGACCCCCAAAAAAAAAAAAGTCCAACACTTACATAATGAATGAATAGTCCACTTCCATTGGTAGATTGTTAAAAACATTTGAAACTTTAACTCCCTTCATATATTTATATATTATGCTCTGTGCATAATAGCTGCAGTGGCATTTATTATCCTTGCTGTCTTTCTTTAATTGGAAATTTCTTCTTTGAAATTTTGCCTTCTTAAAAGTAACTTTAAAAAAATCCACCATTACAAGGTCAGAATGTTTCTCAAAACAGTTTGGAGAGGCATTTGAAAACCTTCAGGAAAGTATATTGATTTAAAACCTTGATGCTGTTAGTTTAGCTTATATCTCAAACATTAATGTAAAAGCATTTTATCACTAATCTCATTCTCCATTTTCAGATAGTTTTCACACTTTTTAAAAACATACAAAACTGATAACATGTTACTTTCTGGCATACTGTATACTCCCTCTGGAAAGTTCTTTATCAACTAATAAATATGGCTCTTCATACAAGATTGGGATAATTCATATTGAAATTTTTATGCATTTAAACTATCATCAACAGCAACATTTTGAAGCCAATATGCATTTTTTAAGCTTACTGAAGTTAACTTCCAAAATCTGAGTCATCATTTGAAGGGAAACACATTTCTTTCCAATTCAAACTCTGAAGAGGAAAGCAAGCTGTAAATACTAGGCCTAAAAAAAAAAACAAAAACCGTGACATTAAAAACTGCTTAATTGTAATGGTAGTCTGATTTATAAGAGTTTAATAATTTGTGCAAAATGGTTTATTTCTAGCATTAGAAAAGCAACATTTTCTATATATTTGAGAAGAACTTAAGTTTTCACATAGAAAAATGACAGACTAAAACTCATTTTTTGAAGAATATAATTTTGCTTTTTGTACCTTAGTTTACTTTTACTTTTCCTATGATCCTACCAAACATCTTTATGGCAAATTCATTAAGTTTTTGCTGTAACTACTAAAATGTGAAATGACACCAAAATTCTTCCTGTTTATTGCTAAAATTACCATAGATAACTTTTACCAGACTTATCACAAGATGATACTGTCAATAGTATGTTGTTCTGCACAATGGGAAAAGAAAAGATTAGTGACAAATAAAATAAAATTTGAAAGTTGATTTCAGGATTGTGTGACACAAAATGTGGAGACTGCTCAGCTCGAATTTATTTTATGACAAAATTATAATATATGTCATTTTAAATACTTACAGTTTTAACTCCATGATGTAACTACTGAATTCTGGAATTAAAAAAAAACACTTGTGCAACATATATTGAAATCAATTCTTTTTGAAATTTACAATCTTACCTTTCCTGCTTTTTTCCCCTCAGATTTCTGCTGCTTTTGGATAAAATGGAGGCAAGGGAAGCAAAGGAAAAACAAAACAAAAACAAAAACAAAAATCAGCTCCAGTTTGGTAACTGTAAACCCATTTTTTTAAAGCATGTCAATATTCCCAGTGTACTGATACATAGGTATTTTCTGCTGTAACTACTTTCATTTCTTACATACTGCAAATATTTCATTAATAAAAATATAACACAATTTTAAATTTCATTCAACAGCATGAAGTTTAAAAAAGTATCGATTGGCATAATTCAGCTAAACCCTTATCTTACATAGTCATTAACCAAGAAATGGTATTCTCAATGAGGTACTGTCTTATATCATTTAATTTCCATTTGTGTTTAAATGAATGTACTTTAATTTTGAGCATGAACACCTTTTTAGTTATATCATCAACAACGAGGAAGGCTGAAAGTTTATAAAATAAGAAATGCTATAGGAATCTCTATAGAGCATTAAAATATAATCTGAATAGTAAATCTATAATTTTGGGATGTCCTTGGGGCATCTTAATTTGACTGTGTTCAGATATCTTTTGTCTGATATAAAGTCATTTGCTTCTTTTGTTGAAGACTCCACCCCCGCTCCAACCCTCAAGAGACAGGCAAGGGGCTGGGAAGGTGGCTCAGTGGTAGAGCGCTTGCCTTGCATGCATGAGGCCCTGGGTTCGATTCCTCATCACCACATAAGCAGAAAAAGCCAGAAGTGGCACTGTGGTTCAAATGGTAGAGCACTAGCCTTGAGCTGAATTGCTGAGGGGCAGCGTCCTGGCCCAGAGTTCAGGCCCCACAACCGGCCAAAAAAATAAAAAAAGAGAGAGACAGGCTAATTTATAAGTCTCAAGAAATATTTATTGTATTTATATTTAGAGACATTCTTTTCTGTAGAGAAATAAAATATTATATAAGTGGGACAGATTTATTCATCTGTGAACAATGATGCTCACTAAAGACCTTTCTCCTTAATTTTTGTCACATTTCCTTGTTTTGTTTCTTTTTCCTACAGTAAAACAAAAATTTCTTAGTGAGCCTTTTTAAGTACAATGAATCACTGATAATCATAATCGGCATGGAGTTTATTCTGAAATAAAGATTAATATTGTTACTAACCTAAGAAGAAAACATTGCTGTATTTTGATTTTCATTTAATTATTATCTTTAAGTAGTTGTACAAAGGAGCTGACATTGAACAAATCAGTTCATGAATACAAAATACCTTATTAATGTCAATTATTCAATTATTCTCACCCATCCCTCCACTATTTACCCTTCCTTCACTGTTCTTAATTTTTAAGGTATACATTGGGCTTTTGAATTTTCTTCTCTTCTCCCCTTTTCCCCTTGACCCTACATATTTAATGAGATATTACTAGAACAAAAAGGTACAATATTCTGCCATTTAAATAAAATTCATGTTTCTAAACGTGGAAGTGAGAAAGTATCTAGACACAGATACTTTATAGTTCAACTTTCAATTAGATGTACATTTAAGATATTCATACTGCCTATTTTTCTGCACTGATCAAATTCAACCATCAGTCACTCAGTGTTAAAAATAAATTAGTCAGTATAGGTATGCCACAGTAATTTATTTTAAGACAGCATCTTGGGATTCTGTGTTTAAATTATCAGTGTTCATATCTCTTGTTATTATGCTTGAATAACCTTAAAATTTTGAAATTTTTGTAAGAAAATTACAAAAACATCATCAAAGTTTAATCATATTTTAAAATAACATTAATATTTATTTTTTTTCTTTTTTCTTTTTTTGGGTCCGGTCGTGGGGCCTGAACTCTGGACCTGAGCGATGTCCCTCAGCTCTTAAGCTCAAGGCTAGCGCTCTTCCACTTGAGCCATAGTGCCACTTCTGGCTTTTTTCTTTTAGCTTATGTGGTGCTGAGGAATAAACCCAGTGCCTCATGCATGCAAGGCAAGCGCTCTACCACTGAGCCACCTTCCCAGCCCTAATATTTAATTTTTTATTAAGTAGAATTGTGGTGAATTGTTAGTTTTACTAAAAGTTACTTTTAACAAGGGAGTAGGTTTTATTTAGATGTTTAATGATTATCAGTGAGAAATTCAAAATCATTTAGAGATTTAGTGAAGTGAATTCAGATAAGTGTTGATCTTGCCTATCTTTAGTGAACTATTAAAAAGTTAATGATTTAATGTTTAGGAAAACATTTTGAGAACAAAATTTTATATTTTTACTTTTGTAAGCTACCTGTACCATAAGAGTGTTTTCATAATATGAATGAGGCCTACATTCCATCAATACTTAATTAATTACTTAATTAAACAAAGTACAAGAGAACATATACACAACTCACTTGAAGTGTTAACTCAGTAATTTTAGTATATTTTGCTTCTGCCTTTAATATTTCAGTATAGTCAATTGTAAAATATGTTCATCACTCTAAATAAATCTTCATTTTCTTTAATAATCTCCACCCCATGATTCTATTTTCCTACATAGCTTTAAATAAGGGCTAATCTATATTCTAATTGTCATAAATTACCCTGTTCTGGATATGTTAATGGAATCATATACTATTTGGTCTGGGATACTCTATTCTTTCACTTAGTACAATGATTTTTAAGGTTCCTTCATAATGTAGTAACATGTTTCAGTAGTTTAGTATTTTTTCATTGTCAAAAAATCCATTTGTAAGGTTTCATACATTTTCTTTAAACATTTATTGATAGTCATTTGGTCTTTCCATGTATTTTGACTGTGATGTATAAGCTTCATTGAGCATTAATGTGTAAGGTGTTTTTTGTTTGTTTGTTTGTTTGTCTTGAGGCCTGAACTCTGGGCCTGTGTGCTATCACTCAGCTCTTCAGCTCAAGGCTAGTGCTCTACCACTTGAAACACAGCACCACTTCTGGCTTTTTTTTCTGCTTACATGATGCTGACGAACCAAACCCAGGGCCTCATGCATGCAAGGCAAGCACTCTAACACTGAGCCACCTTCCCAGCCCCTAGTGTGTAAGTTTTATATGGAAATATATTTTTATTTCTTGTGAATATGTACTTAGAAGTGAAATGGCTACATAATATAATAATTATTTGATTAAGTGATTGAGGAACTTCCTGAATATTCTCAAAAGCTATTACACCGTTCACATTCCTTCCAATAATATATGATTGTAATAGTGGGTCTACATTCCCATCAATATTGTAATTTACTCTTAACATATTAACAATGTAAACAAAGATTTTTCATGAATAAATATATGAATCACTTTATCTATATGCCTATATATCCATTCAAACTTAGATTAGTTATTATAATGAAGTTATATAATATGACTCTTCTACTATACAAGCTTAGTGAACTATTCCATGGTACTAAGGTACCAATCAATAAGTTGTTAAACTCATTCTTTAAAAGACCACAAAGTTACTTATTTCTTGATCTGAAATTGAAAATCGTTTAAAACATACATTTTATAAAGTGCCATGTAAATGTGTAATGGGAATGGGAATTATGATATGGTTAAGTTGTATCATCACTGAAATTTTTCTATAAACCTAAAACAACTAAATTAGAATTTGTTAAAAATAATAAACATTTGGCATTTAAAATGTAAAACAAAATAAATATTTAAAATATATTTCTTTGTTTCAGCAAAAGGGATATGAAATAGTTATTGAATCATTGCTTATTATAATTCAAACTAATATATATATCACGTTAAAAAAAACTTCAAACAAATTAGCAGAAGAAATGATCATTGAAGTGAGTTTGTAGTTGCTGGCCAAAGATTTTATAATGTTCACATACAATTTTTTTTATAGATCATCTGTCTTTGAAGGAAATCATCCAAAGAATAGATAAAATATAAGAACAGAATAAAATCAAAGAGAAGAAGCAATATATTTTTCAACATGGATGATAGAATAATCAAACAACAAAAAGACATATGAGCAGAATATCATGGACTATATGAAGCTCCCATCTTCATCCCAGGGGCCTTGGTTTTAAGTTAGAATCCAACTGTGCCTTTTTCTCTACACAGACATTTTATTTTTTGCCAACAAATACTCTTTTTACTCTGACAGTAGTAACAAAAAATGTGTGACTGACATATCTGCTTTTCAATACATATCAGTTGAAATAATGTTGTAGTTTTAATTTTACATAAAGCTACCTATGTGTGTTTGCTATCACAATGGATTTTCTTGTCTCCATTATCAGTTTAAATTACACATCATTTTAGCATGTCACTTGTGAAATGTGAAAGTCTGAAGATATTGCTTGTGTCTATTAAAGCTTATAGATATTTTCAAAATGAACAGCAAAGCATGAAGAAGTGATGAGAACGAACAACAAAATACAAATGATCTTTCTAATTTAAGAATACTGCATTTAAAAGATATGATAAGTATCAGATTGATTATTTCTATGATTTTCTATTTTTTATATTATAGGTAAGGATAGGAAGCTCTGTGTGTAATTAAAAATAAAAAAGTAAAAAGCCAACTATCAAATTAGTTGCCATTGGCTTATGCCTGTAAGTTCAGATGTTCAAGATGGCTGAGAAGTGGAAGATTGTAATGTAAAGCCAGCCTAGGCAGAAAAGATTGTGAGACTCCCTTTCCAAATCAGCAGCAAAATATCAGATTGAAGACATGAATCAAGTGATAGAATTCCAGCTGTGGGCAAGAAATCTGAGTGTGTGCAAGGCCTTGACTTCAAGTACTGCTATGGGCATAATTAACACCAATTGAAAGAAATAGCAAACTATCAAACTCTAAAAAAGATGAAAATTTGTTCCTTAGCACAGGTCTCAAATGGGTCTCATCTCCTACATGAATACTAAAAATATACAACTTTCTGATAGTGACTTTAACCTAGATTATAGTTATTTTATTTAAAAGTGGAAGATTTTAGTTCAAGGCAATATTTCCTAGCTTGTTAAGACCTAGAACCTTTCAGGATTACCAGATCACTAGTGCCAAAATTCTGGTCCCACATCACTTTAGTG